GTTTAATAGAAGTGGCATGGAAGTAAGTATATTCAGTAAATTGTTGTGGGTAACAGATGGTAAATACGGTAGATCTAAAGGCCAGTTCTACCAGTAACCAATTCTACCTTTATGGCAATGGGCATTGGTAAGGTGGATCCTCTAGTAGGTCTGTAGTCATGATTAAATTTTAGGGAAAAAAATTATCCTGTTATAATGAGTCCTTGTCAGTAATTGTAGGACTTTAAATTTATTTTGTTTCTCATCTTTCTAGAATTCAGGAAGCAAGTAATAGAAGCCTTCTCTGGAATTGTTGTTAAAATTATGATTTAAAGTATTTTATTAGTTTTAGAAATATTAAATATCTACCTGATGCTGGGTGCTCCATGTTTAAAATACTGGAGATGTGTCCTGTTCTTACAGGTCTTAAAATATATATGCCTACAAACAAAACAACGTACAGACAACCTACCAATTATAAAATGTTAATCTTTTTATTTGTAGAAGGAAGAGAAGGGCCTGGAGAATTGAGAGGACTCTATGAAAGGGAGGGACGATGGCAGTTGGGAAACTGTTGGAAGAGAACTCATTTGAGCAGTAGATGACAAACGTGCTAACACGAGGACTTTGCTTTATCTCTCCTCAACCCCATCGCTCTCCTTGCTTGAAAGTTGGGCTTCTATATAAGAATTTGTTTGAAGAAATGTGTTCTGCAAACTGAATGAAAAATTTAAAAATGAAAACACGATATAATAGAAAATGCTGATATCATGCTACTAGTGAGATAATAGAAATATTTTGAATGGAAAGGTATAAATCATATTTACACTGACAGTTAAAAGCTAAAATTGAAGAGCACTTAGGCTTATTGTTTGAACACTTTTGTTGTATCAGACAGTGCTTATTACCAGAGGAGTATGAAGATGTATGTGGAAGCTTGTGTGGCTCTTTTGAAGTGGAAAGTGGGGCATTTCTGAGGACTTTTGGGTTTATGGCATTGGTTCTTTCCTGTATTTAACTTTCAGCCTTTGGCTGTCCCTTCCTTGATCATGATTAGTTACACTATTTTTATAATTGCAGCTGTGATCAGAATCTTGTTGTTGTGTTGTTTCCAAGTTAACATGGAAAGAGGGGAGGAAGCCAAATGATTTTTCTGAGATTACTACTCTAGTGGGGGAAGGAAGAAGGAGAGAAATGGGTTTTTGAGGTTGTGCATTTTTGATACGACACTTGTTTAAGGTGGAGTTAACTGAGCTGTGAGAGGTGGAGGTGGGACTGTGCTGGAGGGCACAGGAGCATGGATAAGGGTAAAAGGGACCAGAGATTTGGGATCAGTGCTCACAGGACCACCAGGTGGAGCTTTTGGCTAAGGATGTGAAGCTGTCCCGGGATGCTTCCCAGTAATAAACTTTGTTGCGGGGAGAGTAGGTATACGTCACTTTTAAGTGTCCGTATTGAATTTTATCTCTCACAGAATAACTAGTTAAAATAAGTGGTATTTCAGGTTCTCTTGTGACTGGTGTGCCTTCCTTTATTTTGTTTTTAGTTGTGTTTTGATGTTGATCTGTTTAACTCGGCTTATTTCTCCTCTGAGCGTTCCCTTCAGCCTTGGATCTAGAGCATGGCAAAATAAATGCTGACGTTTTTAGCAATGGTGCCTTTTAAGGTTTTATCATTAGAAGAATCTTTATAATTGGTGTATCTTAGTCCATAGTATTCTGCGAAAGCGATCACAAATAACTGAAACATTGTTTAGGCACCATCGATACTTAGGGCCTCTTTTGGTTGAAAGCTGAGATGGAATTAAAGAACTCAGATTATAGACGTGGGTAATTCACTCAGATCATTTCAGGAGAAAGAAGGCATTTGCTTTGTGTACATGCATTGAGCAGGAGAGGAGAGCCAGCAACCGCAGCAGCAGCTCAGAGGCGGGCTAGACTCCCTCTTTTTTTTTTTAGGCTAAAAGGTCTCTCTGATGGTGACTCTGCTTTGCTCTGCGTATTAGGTACCGTTTTCCTCTCTTCTGAAGCATCTTTTTCTCAGCTTACTGGTAGTTTCTGCTTCCTCTTTTTTTTCAGCTTGCCTTTGGTTACAGTAACCTGTTAAGCTCTTTACCTCATAATGTTTCACCTTTAACTCTCATTACAAATTGACTCTCTAGTTTATCCTAGTTCGAATTCCTAAGAGAGGACTAGTTGAATAAATTATGTTCGTGCGTTGGGAAACTTTACAGCTGTGAAAAAGGTTGAGGTAGATCCACTGATATATTGGACCCAGCCTGAACAATGCGTCTGGTGACATCACACCTTGGTAAGTGGCTGCCACAGTGGGAATATTCGCAGCATAGAAATTGGCAGATGCCACAAACCAGGGCTCACAGCCTAAACTTCTTCCCTGCAGGAACTGGTTGCTAAGCCTTTATTGGTGTTGATATGCATAAGCTCGAAGATGTGCTGTTAAGCAAAAAAGAGTAAGATCTAGAATTATTTATAGAACGGCTCTAGTTTTTAAATAGAAAAGGGACATTTAAATATATGTGTATGTGCATACATACATGCAGATTCTTGTATAGTGTGGAGAATAGTTTTGGGAGATAACGGTGGCTGCTTCTAGGAAGGGGGGACTTAGGTTTGGAGTGGGGTGTGTGGAAGTGTGCAGATCAGAGTTCAATTTTAGATGCTTTGTATATAGTTGATTATGAACATTAAAAGCCAATAAAATCCTTACATAATCACAGTGTCAGTAGTCAATATAATTTACTTCAATCTCAAACATTATGATGAAGTATGTAGGAAGGAAATATAATCCTAATGTTGAAAGTGTCAAGGTCAGATGAATTCACTTTTCCCATATGTATCAGATTCATAGCCATGCCCCTTAGTACATTGCTTCATATTTGACCATGACTTTTATCACTCTCTGCTTTGTTTGTTCTGAATTTTCTAATAGTCTTCTTATCCTCTTTTTGGTGTCTTTCATATGGAAGCTTTCACTGTGTCGCTAATAATATCTGTGATCTACATGTTGCCTAGAATCCACTTTCTTCTTGAAGACACCTTGTATTCCCTATTCTAATGCAGGGTGGTCACTCTCTAGGCAACTACACAGTTAGCTTCCTGAGATTGCATGGATCCTGTGTCTACCCCTTTTTTTGATTCTGTTAAAAAATTATTCTGACACTTATTAAAACAATAAAGAAATCCCTATAAATAAGAGATTTATAGTCAGTCAGTCAAGCGAGGGCCTTGGTGGATAGAAAATTACTAAGAGGAGACTTCAAGGATGGAATTCTTGCTAAACCAACTTAACAGGATTTTTGGTAGAGGCAGGCCAGTGTTACCAGATATCAGGGGTGGGGGATGAGGAATCTGACCAGATATCAAGAGCAAAGAGATGTCAAGGGTTGGGGGACTCTCACTGAACTGACTTAGCAGGATTTTTGCTACAACTGGGCTAGGCAGGCTAAAACAGGACTCAAGGCCTAGTAAAGAAGATGGTTAAAAGTTTGGACAAGGAGAGAGTCTTTGTCAAAGAAACATTGTTTAGGCAGTAAACTCTGAATCATTGTATTAGTTTCCTCTTGCTGCTGTAACAAACTATGACAAACTTGGTGGCTTAAAACAACAAGATTGATTCTCTTACTGTGCTGGAGGCCAGAAGTCTGAAATCAGTTCCACTGGGCTGAAGTCAGCAGGGCTGATTCCTTCTGGAGCCACTAGGGGAGAATGGGCATCCTTGCCTTTCTGAGCTTCTGGAGGCCGCCTCCTTTCCTTGGCTCATGGCCCCTTCTTTCCTCACATCACTCCAGCCTCTTGCCTTCATCCTCACGCCTACTTCCTCCTCTGACCTTCTTGGCTGCCTTTCATAAGATTCCTGTGATGGCGTTGTGCCCACCTTCACGATCCAGGGTCACCTTCCCACCTCAAGATCCTTACTTAATTACATCCGCAAATTCCTTTTGCCATATTAGGTACATCCACAAGTTCCAGAGATTAGGATGTGGACATATTTTGGGGAGTCATTCTTCAGCTCACCCCACCTTGTGATATCTGTAAACATTTTTACTTTTTCCTCATACCGAATCAGTTGTTTAGCTTGGTATAGAATTCCAAGCTCATGATAATTTTTTTTTTCTCAGAACTTTGAAAATAAGTGCTTCATTACCTCCTAGTTGATAAGAAATTTGATGCCAGTCTGATTCTCATTCCTTGGTTTATGATTTGAACTTTTTCCCTCTCTCTAAGCTTCTGACATCTTTAACTGTATTGAATGTTACACCTGGCTTAAGCTGAGTGTAAACGTAATTCACTAGTGTCCAGTTAAGTGTAATTAATGTTCATAATCATGCCTCTAAGGTGGCTGTCACTTTTGCAAAGTACTTTCCATATTGTAGGTCCCAACCCTTTAAAAAAAAAAAGAAAGAAACAGTGAAGGGAAGAAGGAAAGAATAAATAGGACATTTCACAGTGCCACCCTGCAGTAAGCTATGCGTTTTGTTTCATGAAACATTTATTTCACTTGTATATGTGTGGTGTGTTAAATATTTCCAAAACCCTCCAGAATTTAGTATGCATTTGCTTAGTGTCTGAAACAGGGGCTGAAGCTTTCACATTAAAAAGTATCATTAAAATTAAGTTATAAAATGTACTCGAGAAGAGTATTCCTACTTAGCTTTAGTTTAATGTTTTAAATACAACTTTTCTTTATTGCTCCAAGACAAGTTTTATTAAAAGTAATAAGAATGTGGCTAATTTTGAAGTGCAAGATTAAGGCATATTCAAAGCCCCTGTTTGTTACTAGATGGAATGCTGGGTGTAGGCTGGTGTGGTTCATACTTGGGATCTAGCCTGAAAGGCATGTTTTTACCCTCAACAAACATCATCTTTGTTTGAATATCTGTAGTGCGTGTAACCACAGCAAGGTCTTTTTTTCCCCCTTAGAATATATCTCAGACCTTTTCTTTCTTGTGCCTGTTTCACAAATAGTTTAAAGTAGAGCTGCCTTCCGCTTTTCTGTTTCAGTTTGTTGCAGAATGTGTGAGGGACCACCTAACACTCTTGGTGTGCTTGCAAACTATAAAGCAGTAATGGAACCTTGGAAGAGATAAGTTTACTCTATGAGGACTGAAGCTGTTGTTAATTCCCAAAGCCAGACTGGTTATCTAACAAAGGGTAAAGTACTTTTTAAATTGAAATATATATTTATTTACATTCATCTATTAAAATGTATACTAGGAAAAATGGTCTGTCAATTTTGTTTCATTGAATTTAAAATTTAGTAACTTTGAATGAATTGTTCATTACAATTTGGGGCTAACTTAGTGATACTAAGTTACAATCCAGGTGGATGCTTGATTCTTTAAAGTTTTTATGTTTAAATGGAATTAGAGGTCTTCTTAAAATGCTCTAGTTGTCGTTTTCTTCCGTTCGTTTGTGCCCAGAGATGTTTTCTGTATACTTGAGTATTTAATCCAAATGCCTTTCTATCCTTACTGCTTAAAATGTGCCTCTTGTACTTTGAAACATTGTTACATTAGATGTAAAGTCAGTTAAGATAATTTGATTTGATTTGGCTTGAATACTGTGATACTTGAATACTGTGTTTGATAATGACAAGTGCCCAGGAACACAGCCTGGAAGTCAGTGCACACTTGCATAGACACAGACAGCTGCCAATACCTTCTGTGGTCAGTGTTTATAGGGCAAACTCTTTGTTCTGCAGTGGAATTTCTAAATAAGCAATCAGAACAAAACCAAAGGGAGTATTCTACTATAATTCTTAATAAACTTCTCAACTGTAGATCAGACAGTATGAAATATAATTTAACTATAGTGAATTCTGCATAAGGACACTACTTCTTACTGGAAAGATGCTTGCTTCACAATGCGGATTATTAAATAATGTCTCTAAACTTGGTGTTGGGAAAGATTGGCATTTCTATTTAGTCTCTTCAAAGAAGCAGGTTTGGCTATATTTTATAAAATTAGTTTGACTTTAACTCTGTTCTCTTTTACATTCATTAACAATACAAAATTTTCTCCGCATCAGGAAATACAAGGATAAGAACTTTCTAAAGGAATTTAAAGATTAGTACTGACTTGATTTGGAGTCAACTATTCTAATCATGTTAATCATTTTATTCCCATAAAATTAGGTACAGTTTCATCCAATTCCAGTACAACCCATATTACTTGGCTAGGTCTCCTTTCTGGAAATCTCTAGATTGGAGACGACCCATGTAAAGCGTTGTAGCTTACAGTTTGCCACAATGATGTTTTCTTGGGATACTTTGCATCTTCACTTCCGAACTCTATACTTTTTCCAGTTCTTGCCTTTACACTTTTAAACTTTTCATTGTCAAGTTGGAAATATAGTTGAGACTCCTAGGACTAGTAGCAGGAATAAAGGACTAGTATAAAATACTTCAAAGAAAGCACTCATTTATTGGATTTGGCCTAATCACCATAGAAATTCATGCTTAGCTGTTCTGGTAATGGAGTAGAATTTACTAAGGAGCCAAGTTTCCTAGTTTGAGTTTAATTTCTGTTAATTTGCTTTCCCTACCCTTTTGTAGAAGTGAAATGTGTTAAAGCTGGGTAACAGGAGAGGGAAAAAGGAATTGATGAAGGTTCATACGTCTAAAATAGGATAATAAATATGTGTATAATTGAGTTGAGTATCCCAGACTTCTGATTGTATAAGTTAACTGTGAAAATCTGAACAACTAACCTGTATTTTTCTTATTTTATTGAACCATTTGTTATTTATTCACATTTCCCTCAAAGGATAGTATATTGACACTTTGTAGTCTGAGAAAAGCAGTGGCATAAACATTTTTTTCCCAAATAAGCTTTAAGAAATTCACAAATTCCATTCTGCTATTTTTACTATTATAAACAACCTTGTGCTTGTTTGATTATCTCATTATCATAAATTCCTAGAGGTGGAATTATTGGGTAAAGGAGATGCCTGTTTTTAAGATTTTTTAAAACTTTTATTTTTTTCTTTACTTTAGAAAACTTTTCTTGTGTTTTGTCCTTAATACTATTTAACATTTGGACAGCACTTTGCTATTATGTGGGTATTTATTGGACTATAGTCTCTACCTATTAAGGTTTTTTTCTTTTTAATATTTATTTATTTATTTGGTTGTGCCGGGTCTTAAGTTGCGGCAGGCAGGCTCCTTAGTTGCAGCTCGTGGGCTCTTTAGTCGCAGCTCACTGGCTCCTTAGTTGCGGCAGGCAGCCTCCTTAGTTGTGGCGTGCAAACTCCTAGTTGCAGCATGCATGTGGGATCTAGTTCCCTGACCAGAGATTGAACCTGGGCCCCCTACATTGGGAGTGCAGAGACTTAACCGCTGTGCCAACCAGGGAAGGCCCTGTTTTTAAGATTTTTGATACATATTATCAAGTTGCTTTCCAAAAAGGTTTTATACATTTGTAAGTCTACCCACAGCATAAGTAATGGCAGATTTCCCCACACTATATCAAGATTGAGTAATATCGATGCATTTCTTGGTCAGTGTGAGATAGGTGCAAAGTGGTATTTTATTTATTTATTTTTATTTTTAGCTGTGTTGGGTCTTCGTCGCTGCGTGTGGGCTTTCTCTAGTTGTGGCGAGGGGGCTACTCTTCGTTGTGGTGCGTGGGCTTCTCATTGCGGTGGCTACTCTTGTTGTGGAGCACGGGCTTTAGGTACACGGGCTTTATTAGTTGTGGCACACGGGCTCAGTAGTTGTGGTGCATGGGCTTAGTTGCTCCACAGCATGTGGGATCTTCCTGGACCAGGGATCAAACCCATGTCGCCTGCATTGGCAGGTGGATTCTTAACCACTGTGCCACCAGGGAAGTCCCTTTATTTTATTTTATTTTATTTATTTTTTACATCTTTATTGGAGTATAATTGCTTTACAATGTTCTGTTAGTTTCTGCTGTATAACAAAGTGAATCAGCTATATGCATACATATATCCCCATATCCCCTCCCTCTTGCGTCTCCCTCCCACCCTCCCTATCCCACCTGTCTAGGTGGTCACAAAGCACCGAGCTGATCTCCCTGTGCTATGCAGCTGCTTCCCACTAGCTATCTGTTTTACATTTGGTAGTGTATCTATGTCCATGCCACTCTCTCACTTCATCCCAGCTTACCCTTCCTCCTCCCCATGTCCTCAAGTCCATTCTCTACGTCTGCATCTTTATTCCTGTCCTGCCTCTAGGTTCATGAGAAACTTTTTTTTTTTTTTTTTTTTTTAGATTCCATAGTTAGCGTATGGTATTTGTTTTTCTCTTTCTGACTTCCTTCACTCTGTATGACAGACTCTAGGTCCATCCCCCTCCAAAGTGGTATTTTAAAATTTGTATTTCCTTAGTTTCTGATGACTTGAGTTTTTTTCCCCCATGTCTTGGCTTTTAAAATTAGCTTTTATTTTTATCAGAGCTGTACTTGGTGTAAAGATTCAGCAGCCTGTAAAACTTATTTTGAAAAATAAGCTGACTTCCACACCCCTCCCTCCAGGCTGCCCACCCCAAAGAAGTAATCACTCTCCACTCCCAGCTGGTTCATTATCCGTTTACTTGCAAAGCGCTAGATACCATGCCTATATTGCCGCTTCCTGTTCTGCAGATTTAGTCATTATCTCATGGTTTCCTGCTTTGGAGGGTGAGGATTTGGTTTTCTTCCCTGCACTCACTCAACCTCTTACATACACACACGCATCCCTTCAACTCTCAGGACTTGACTTCTTTAATCAACTCCCTGTTTTTAACCCCACCGTCACCTCTTCTCTGGAACCTCCATTTGCTGGGCCACTGAGGGCAAGGATTTAAAGAATCCCTATATTGTCGTTTTAGTGGGGTTTTAGGAGGAATGGATATAAAAGTGTGTGTTCCATCTGCCATCTTTAACTGGACATCCTTTTTCGTGTCTTTAGTGATCTTTTTAATAAAGTAGTGGTTAAAATTATGGACTGTGGAGTCAATACTGTCTGGATTTGAATCTATCTTTGCTGTTTACTAGCTTTGTGACCTTAGACAAGTTGGTTAAAATCTCTAAACCTCATTTTTTTTCCATCTGTGTAATAGAATTAATACAGTGAAGTGCCGTTGTGAGAATTAAGTGTGATAAGGCATGTAAAGTGCTTTCCCGCAGTATCGGATGCTGGCAGTATCTTATTATCTGCCGGGCACTCTGTGCGGAACACAGAGTTGTCACTGCTGTTGTTACTCCTGTGAATTTCTTGCATATGACCTTTGCCCAGTTTCCACTGGAATGCTTGTCTTTCTTCTTGATCAGAGGTGCCTTTTATACAGTCTGTCATTGATCTTTTATTTTTATTTATGGTAGTTGGGGTGTGTAATCATATCCACACTATTTCATGTTTTGACCTTTACTTGTTACCAGACTTAATGATTTTGAAAGATAACCTGGTGGTAATACAAAAGAAAACTTTATTTGTGGTTGTATTGTGGTAAAAAACTGGAGATTATAATAGTAGTTGGGGCAGTTGATAAGGGAGACCTGAGAGGCTAAATGAAGAAATGATTATATTCATCACGTCAGAGAAATATTTTTTTTAACTCCTGAAGTCTATCTTGCACTGATTTATTTTGCGAGCAAATTACCTAAAATTTTAAAAGCCTTCTTGAATGCTCTTCTCATCATCTACCCAAGTGGATTTCATCTGAAAACTTAGAGCTCTCAGTTCCAGTTTCTACTTTAATATTTATTTCTATGAAACTAGATCCAAAATTAACTCTTGAGGGATAAGATTTACCATATCCCCTAAGTTAATGCTGTGTTAACCAATTTGCTTTCTTTTGAGCATGGTATTGTAATATTGAAATGGTAGATATGTTGATATTTCAAAGTTATAATTACGGATACCTTATTCGATTTTGCTGGTTTGTCATTTTAGGCAGCATTGATTTACTGTTTTATTTTCATTTGTTTTATCTTAGTTTTATAATTAATTAACTTTATAAATCTTTAAATAACAGTTCATTGAAATTTGATCTCTCCACAGATTCAAACCAGGATGTAGCAATCAAACTTGCCCAGGAGCGAGCTGAAATAGTTGCTAAATATGACAGAGTAAGTATTCATATTTACTCTTTGAGTAATTTTTATTTACAGAAGTATAAACAGAAATGGAGTTCCTTTTTGGAGAGCTTAAATTACAGCAGCAGTTTGTTTACTTCCCGTGACTGTTGAAGTCATCTTATTTCTCTGACTTCATCTCCGTATTTTTTCTTCCTCCTTCCCTGTGCTTTAGCCACTCTGGTCACTTGTTATTCTTCCAACACTTCTTCCAGGCTTGCTCCTGCCTCAGGGCCTTTGCACTGGCTATTTCTTCTTCCTGGAACACTTGTATCCTGGATACCTTCATGCCCTATTGCCTCCTCTTTTTCTTTGCCCAGATGCTACCTCTTAGTGAAATCTTCTCTGACCACACTGTTTAAAAAATACACCCCTCCACCCCCTGGCTCTCTCTATCCCCTTTCTCTTCTTTACTTTTCACCATAGCATTTAAAGTATCAGCATACTTTATATTTATTATACTTTGTTGTCTGCTCTCCCTCCTAGAATGTATACTCTCCGAGGGTAAGAATTTCTTTTGTTTGATTTGCTCTTGTATCCTAAATACCTACAATAGTTCTGGCTCATACTAGGTATTCAATAAATATTTTAATATATTAGTATATGGAATTGGATACGCATTTTATTTATAATGGATACGTGATGTTAAAAATTGAACATGGATCTGAAAATTTGAATTTATACATGATGTATAATCTCCATTAGCATTTTATCCTTAAGTTAATTATGGAATCTCTTTTTTTTTTTTTTTTTTTTGCGGTATGCGGGCCTCTCACTGTTGTGGCCTCTCCCGTTGCGGAGCATAGGCTCTGGACGTGCAGACTCAGCGGCCGTGGCTCACGGGCCCAGCCGCTCCGTGGCATGTGGGATCTTCCCGGACCAGGGCACGAACCCGTGTCCCCTGCATCGGCAGGCGGACTCTCAACCACTGTGCCACCAGGGAAGCCCTGGAATCTCATTTTTGATGCCCTAGAAAATCACAGTTGTTGACGATTTACATATATCCTTATTATTACCTTAGCTCTTGAGATCTACAATGAGTTGTAGCCATGATTTATAAATGTCATGTTTTATATTTATATCACTTGGATGTAATTTCGTATCTGTTATTTTTGATTACTTATGAGAATAACAGGAACATGAAATTATAGAAGGCCATCTGGACTGTGCCCTGCTTCCAGGGAGGCATACAGGCAGAGCTCAACTGAACAATCATGTTCCCAGAGTTTCTTTTTAAGTTGGTTGTTTGGAACATCAGACACCGTTTCCCATTATTATGATTAGGTTTTAATGTAGTCCGTGAAAAACCCAATTAATTTATTTAACTGCTTAACTAATTTAAAACCAATAGAACCATCGTTTGTTCATGCTCACGTGCATTTTTTTTTTTTTCATGCAGTTAACACTTAGTGACCAGGCCAAGTGTCATGCTAGGCCTTGGGGTTTCACTGTACAAACATGAGTTACAAGGGGTCCCTGCCCGCAAGATGCTCACGGCCTACTCAGAAAACACATGAACAGGCAGTTACCAAACATCCACGAGACAGTCGGGTACTAAGTGTGAAACGTGAGGGATTAGTGTAGCCTCTTGCCCTGGGGCTCCTGCTCTAATCAGTGCTGCTTCACAGCTCAGGAGGGGAGTGTGACGGGCAGTGGGTTGAGGGTGGAGCTCTGGGCACACGGACACTTGGTGGGGGCAGCCCATAGGAAGCTGTCACAGAAGAGTAGGGGAGGGACAGGAGAGCCAAGAGACGATGGTGTCATGAGGCTGGGCAGCACTGACAAGCACAGTGGAAAAGTCCACTCGGTGAGGAAGCCAGAGTAGTGTCCACGGGATCTGACGGTGGGAGGCCGGTTTTGACCTTGGCAAGGATAGTGTCAGGGCCAGTAGAGCTGGGAGTGAAGAGGAAGAGAGGCAAAGTAGGTAGCCCACTCTTCTGAGAAGTTAGGATGAAAAAGCAAGCCATACTTTCTTCTAAGATGTTTTCACTCTAAAACCTTCAAGTTTGGCTGTTCATTCTTTTTTTAAAAAATAAATTTATTTATTTATTTTTGGCTACGTTGGGTCTTCATTGCTGCGCGCGGGCTTTCTCTAGTTGCGGTGAGCGGGGGCTACTCTTCGTTGCGGTGCGTGGGCTTCTCATTGTGGTGGCTTTTCTTGCTGTGGAGCACGGGCTCTAGGAGAGTGGGCTTAAGTAGTAGTGGCATGCGGGCTTAGCAGTTGTGTCTCGCGGGCTCTAGAGCACAGGCTCAGTAGTTGTGGCGCACGCAGCATGTGGGATCTTCCCGGACCAGGGCCCGAACCCATGTCTCCTGCATTGGCAGGCGGATTCTTAACCACTGCACCACCAGGGAAGCCCTGACGGTTCATTCTTGAGTGGCTTCTTGTCCTCCGTTGCTCCCTCTTTCCCAGTCTGTTTCTCACAGGAACCCAGCTCTGATCACGGCTTAATGTCTTCCAAAGTTTGTATCAAAGAAATAGTGATTATTGCCCCAAATTTTTTTTTAAGTTAATTAGGGTCGATAATGCCTCAGTTCTAGCTCTTATTTTTAGCAAAAAATAAGTCTTGTTTTCTGTTCTTTTTAAGAAATTATTCAGTTTTATATATTCCTAATAACACCCTTCTTTGTCCCCTATTATAGGGACGAGAAGGTGCAGAGATTGAACCTTGGGAAGATGCTGATTACCTTGTTTACAAAGTCACGGATAGATTTGGCTTCTTACAGTAAGTTGCATAGTTTGAAAGCTAACTTTTAAAATTATGTTTCTATGGTCTCCTATTTCGTTGATTTTCTTTATTTTTAATAGCATTGCTCTGAATAAGATTCCAGGATTGATCCTGCAACATGCTTTTTTTATTAAATTCCTGGCATTTTTAACCTCTGTGATTGAAATTGAACTATAGTTAAGAATACAGTCTTTAATATTCATTGTGTTTTAGGAAGAACATTAAGTGCAGTGAATGAGTTATATTAATAATTTAGCAGAACTAAGTGGAAATCAATAACAACTTGTATTTCAAAAATAATGATAAAACATTTTATTTTATGTAAATGCATTTTAAAAATAATTAGCAGTTAGAACTTTAGTATCGTGCAGCCTGAAAATGAGCAATGAAAAGAAATGCCACTGATCTTCCTTATGGTGGGAAATGTATTTGTATTATTGCTTCTGAAAATTAATTCCATTTATCCTGAGTATGTTACGTAAGGAGTCGAGAGAGGCCTAGAGCACTATAAAGTAAAGTAGTTAAAGTGGTTTTGACTCTTAAAAACATCCTGAAATGATGTGAATTTGCCTGTTTGGTTCTGGCTTTGTTTAGTAAGATTCCCATGGGCTGGAGACTTTTCTGCATCTTTGTAGTTTGTATGGTTCCATACAATTTAGTGATTAACCTACTACTTAGTCACATTTATCCTTTCCCAGTCTCATTTATTATAAAGAGGAAGAAGCCAGGGATTTTTATTTTATGATACATGATTAAATTTTGAAGGAGGAATACAATTTCTTAGGGAGTTCATAGCAGTAACTTTATAGTACTCAGACCTTCTTTTTCCTTTCTGTTCAGTTTTCTTGCATTTAGAAAGTATTTTGTTGCATCTTGTTTTTCTCAGGGTGACGCAAGCAAACAAACAGTTCTGGGGGTTAGAATGTATGCTCTTCTTCTGGCTTTGCTGGTTTCAGTTAACTATTTCACGCCTTATCTGTGAAACAGAAATCATTAATTGCTCTACATACTTAGGGGTACTTGAAGCTTTGAAGAAATAAAATGATAGAATACTACATACAGGTCTAGACAAACGTAAGGTGTCATTATGCTACCTAATGATATCAGCATATCCGAAATGTTCTCCTGCCTAGTTCTAATTAGAAGACTTTGAATTTCAGCAGACCAACAGAGCAGTGTGTAACTGTGATGAAAATACTGTCCCTAAGGGAAACCCCCACTTCGGCTTTTTTTTTTTTTTTTTTTAAGTAAATCAAACTTGGCCACAGATGTGACAGGAAATGATTTTACATTTGTGTGGGTTAATGTGCAGATCTGAGGTATGTGAATGCTGTTTGGAAGGACATTTCGAGCATTTAGCACTGTCAAGATCAGTGGGTCCCAAAATCTCCTGCACATTAGAATTAGTTGGAAAATGTTTGTTTGTTTGTTTGTTTGTTTGTTTAAATAGATAGCTGGGTTGTATCCCAGATTCTGATTCAGAAGGTAGGATACAACTCAGCTGATTTTGACCTCCCCAAGTGTTTGTGATGGGCGTGAACCACTACAAAGGATGTTATCATAAAATGGTCTAATATAGGACAAAATATGTATGAAAAATCCGTGCATTCCGGAAGGGTCTAGGAATTAGCTAAATTCTCTTTTCTCATTGCTTGAAACAACTAGGTTCTGGCCCAAGAGCCTAGCCTGTGTCTACAATCTAAAAATCACACTCAGTTACTCCATGTTTCTTTTTACCTCTGTGCTGAGGTCCATTTGGCTCTAGTGGGAAAAAAAGTCACTCAGTGATTTACCTTAATAATATTAGCTAATATTTATTGAGCGCTGACTGTGTGCCAGGCACTGTTCTAAGCTCTTAACATGGATTATTCCTTTCAAAACTTCTTTGGGATAGGTACTCTTTTTGTCTTTTTTTAGATGAAACTGAAGCACAAAGAGATCAAGCAACTTGCCCAGGTTGCGCTCGCAGTAAGATTGGGGAACTGACCGTGGCAGCCTCAGGGCAGAGCCTGAGTTTTGACCTTCTGCATTCTATTGCCTCTGTAGTTTTAATAAGAGAAACATCGAAGAAACTCTTCGAAATGCCTAGAAAGAAAATTAAAGGGGGAAAGAAGAGTGCCTAAGGAGAGGGATCTGTTTGAAATGATCCCACTGGTGAGCTCACCGTCTTTGAAAACGAAGCCCAACCAGTCCTCATACTGCCTCCCTAAATTTTGTATTAACTCCATGGTGCAATCCTAAAGCAGGCAGCACAAACAAAAATAATGAAGCATAGAAATGGATTTTAGTGTGATGTTAGGCTTTATTGAATTTCACCAAAGGCATTGATTTTTGTTACAGTGCTTCATTTCAGTGAGACACTTTCTCCCAAGGTTGCTGCTGGGTTTTTTTGCGCTATTGAATAAAGTCACCTGGCCTAGGCATTTAGACGTTGCTCCCTGTCACACCTTGATCAAGAGTGTTTCTTTCTGCTGTCTTAGTTCTTTGTAATTTCTGATTGGTTCTGTGATAAACATGCGTTTTAAGTGTCAAGGTCAATAAAATGGTACAAAGTAACTTTGCAGCCTTCTCTGAAGGCTGCTGACTTCATATCTAATTACAGTTTTTGTAACTTAAATTACTTGTTATGATATGTGGAGAAGGATGACAGTAATTAACAAATACAGTATAGGACTAACTTGGTTTTATAACAGATTTCACAATAAATATAAAAACTGTTGCCAAACCAGCCTGGCGTGATGCTGGAACAGGGTCGTCTTTGTTTAGTACACAGAAATGGGGAGCTGTCCCTAGCTGCATGCCTGTGATGGACTTGTATCTGGAGAATGGAGAAATCGAGCTTATTTAAGAACTTAAGAGAACTTTCAGTATTTGAACTTTCAACACTTTTCTGAAAAATAGTCACTGTCAGTCTGCTCGACAAAGAATGCTTGGTATTTGGATAATCATAGAAAATGCTTTTAGGCCACAAGTTATTAATAGAAGAATTAGAAGGAAATTGTTTCAAAAATAAAGATAAAATTAATACCAAGCTTCAGATTTTCAACTACTTATCACAATGTGTATATTTATAAAATTTAGCACATTGTCTGTAGTTTAATGTGAGTATATAAATATTTGTAAGCCAGAATAATGGTGTTTTTGTTTTTAAAGAATATCTGTTTTAATGACGAGGCCTTGAGAACTCTTTCTACCCATCCAATAATTTTGACTAGAGTAAATCTAAACTTAGGCAAAATCTGCTACAAAATCAGAAATAAAATTTAGTATATTGAATAACTGATTTTCACAAGTTAACTTTTATGTTTCCAAATGAAAGTTTATCTCGTAGTTACAGAAATACTCCATTTGAGCTATTGAGAAATTACAAGCACATACACTCTAATTAGTAATTATTTTAAGCTTAATAGCAGATAAAAGAAAATAGATCCAGGTAAGGTCCCTGTGTTTCCAGTGATGCCTATGTTGTTGTTTTTACTTTGTGTATTTCTACAAGGCGTAGCTTCTTGCTATCAGCTTGGTGTTTTCTTTAAGCAGTCTCTAGGTGCCTCTTTCCATTAGACGACAAACCTTCGTTTTCTAAAGCAGCGGTAGGAAAACATTTTCTGTAAAGAGGCAGATACTAAATACTTTTTGGCTTTGTGGACCATATGGTTTTTCTTACAGCTATTCAACTCTACCATGGTAGCCTGAAAACAACCATAGACGATATATAAATGAGCATGGTGGTGTTCCAGTAAAACTTCATTTACAGAAACAGGCCGATGGCCAGATTTCATTCAGGGGCTGTAGTTTGCTGATGTAAAGGAACACTGCAGTCACCCAGATTTTGGTCTTCCCTTTCTTCTACTTGGAGGATATTTAGGTGTCACGGTAAGAATGCATACATGAATGCAGGCATGCATTCATCCTTCCCTTCATACATTCATTCAGCAACATTAGTACACTCCTGCAGCATGCCAGCCATGGTGCCTGAGGCTGCCACAGTGTTTTACGTGTGTATGTATACATTGTGTATAGCTCTTGATAAGGCATGTTCCCTGTTTTCTCTTTAGAAGGCTGTGAAAGAGTGTATGCCAACACAGAGACTAGAAGAGGAAAAGTTCTTTGGAGATCAGTGTTGAGCACATAGCAGATTTTGTATGAAAGATTTTAGAAATGGAGCAATAATGCAAGAAAATTCATGAATGGATCACATTCTATCTATGAGGTCTTAAGACTTTATAAAATTCAACATCCATTCAGGATAAAAACTCATAACAAAATGAGTATGGAGTGAATGTACCTCAACATAATACAGGCTACATGACAAGCTTGCAGCTAACATCATATTCAGTGATGAAAAACTGAAAGCTTTTCCTCTTTTCCTCTAAGGTCCCCACTCTCACCACTTTTATTGAACATCATATTGCAAGTCCTGGCCAGAGCAATTAGGCAAGAAAAAGAAATAAAACACATCTAAATTGGAAGGAAAGAAGTAAAACCAGCTCCATTTGCAGATGATATGTCTGTCTATATAGTCTCTGAAGACTCCACTAAATGTTGGAACTAATAAACGGATGCAGTAAAGTTGTAGGATATACAATCAGCATACAAAAACCAGTTGTATGTCTATACCCTGATAACAAACTATCAGAAAGAAATTAAGAAAACAGTCTCATTTACAATTGTATCCAAAAGAGTAAAATACCTAGGAATCTCAAGTTAACCAAGGAGATGAAAGACCTGTACACTGAAAACTGTAAGACATTGATGAAATATAAGTAGACACAAATAAATGGAAGGATATTCCATGCTCATGGATTGGAAGAATTAATATTGTTAAAATGTCCATACTGCCCAAAGCAATCTACAGATTTAATGCAGTTTTCATCAAAATTCCAGTGGCATGTTTCCCAGAAATAGAACAGTCAATTATAAAATTAGTGTGGAACCACAGAAGCCCCAGAATAGCCACAGCAATCTGGAGAAAGAAGAACAAAGCTGGAGACATCATGCTTCCTGATTTCAAACTCTATTACAAGTTACAGTAATCAAAACAGTATGGTACTGACATGAAAACAGACACGTAGATCTGTTAGAGTCCATGCATATGTGGTCAGTTAATTTATAACAAAGGAACCAAGAATATACAAAGGGGAAAGGACAGTCTCTTCAGTAAATGGTGTTGGGAAAACTGGACAGCTACATGCAAAAGAATGAAATTGGACCACTATGTTATACAATACCCAAAAATCAACTCAAAATGGATTAAAGACTTGAACATAAGACGTGAAACCATGAAACTCCTAGAAGAAAAAGTAGGTGGTAACCTCCTTGTCATTGGTCTTGGTGATGATTTTTTGGATTTGACACCAAAAGCAAAGCCAACAAAAGTAAAAACAAACACAAACAAACAACAAGTGGGACTACATCAAGCTAAAAAGTTTCTGCATAACAAAGGAAACCATGAAGAAAATGAAAAGGCAGCCTACTGAATGGGAGAAAAGATTTGCAAATCATATATCTGATAAGGCAGGGGTCCCCAGCCCCCAGTCTGTGGACCGGTACCAGTCTGTGGCCTGTTAGTAACTGGGCCACACAGCAGGAGGTGAGTGGCAGGCGAGTGAGCAAAGCTTCATCTGCTGCTCCCCATCGCTCGCATTACCACCTGAACCAATCCCCCCACCACCGTCCGTGAAAAATTGTCTTTGACGAAACCAGTACCTGGTGCCAAAAAGGTTGGGGACCACTGTGATAAGGGATTAATATCCAAAATATACAAAGAACTTATACAACTCTAGCCAAACAAACCCTCCAAACAATCCAATAAAAAAATGGGCAGAGGATCTGAATAGGTATTTTTCTAAAGAAGATGGCCAACAGGTACATGAAAATGTGTTCAGCATCACTAATCATCAGGCAAATGCAAATCAAAACCACGATGAGATATCACCTTGTTCCCGTTAGAATGAGTATCATCAAAAAGACAAGAAATAACAAGTTTTGCAAGGATGTGGAGAAAAGGGGACCCTTGTACACTGTTGGTGGGAGCGTAAATTGGTATAGCCACTATGGAAAATAGTATGGAGGTTCCTCAAAAAATCAAAAATAGAGCTACTGTCTGATCTAGCAGTTTCACTTGTGGGTATGTATCTGAAGGAAATGAAAACACTAACTCAAAAAGGTATCTGTACCCACCATGTTCATTGCAGCATTATTCTCAATAGCCAAGACATGAAACAACCTGAGCATCCATCAGCGGATGAATGGATATGGTGGATATATTCAGGGGAATATTATTCAGCCATAAAAAAGAAGGAAATTCTGCCATCAGTAACAACATGGGTGGACCTTAAAGGCATTATACTAAGTGAAATAAGTCAGGGAAAGACAAATGCTGTGTGATGTCACTTATGTGTGAAATGTAAAAAAAGGAAAACCCAAACTCATACATACAGAGAACATACTGGTGGTTGCCAGAGGCGGGGGTAGGACCAGCCTGGCACAGACCATGTAGCCTGAGCAGATATTCGCACCATTCCACAGACGTGTGCAGAACTTGGTTCTGATTCAGTGTTGAGAACAGGCACAGTTAGGCCTGTTAGTCTTGTTTAGTGAATAGGCGGACACTGAAGAGCTTGTCCTCTGGTGGCAGCCAGAGTTGGCACTTCATTTGCAGTTAGGAACGTTGAGTGTTCAGTGTTAGGTCCGGACCTGCTCAAATCAGCTGCACAGAAGGTTGCTCTTGCCCAGGGCAGCCCAGCCCACTCACCCCAGATACGCCATTGTTGGTGCACACAGAGGTTGCCAGATGTTCTTATTCTTTCAAGATGTCCTTGCTGACCTCATCACCTAGCAAGTACATTCCAGTAGTGTTGACAGGCCGCCTTCTGCCAGTAAATGAAGAATGGATGGGTGCCATTCATGCATCACTGGTAATTCATGCATCACTAGTAATCAGGATTACAAATCAACAGGGAAAGTTAGACTAAGAGCCTAACAAAAGCTATTTAAAAAAAAAAAGGTGAATAGGCACTTCCAAAAAAAATACTTATATTTAATCCTTAGATATTCTTTTTCTTGAGAATTGGTTTCTTAGCCTGTTTTTCATATACTCTTGCACAATCTGAAGATAGATACTTATCTAAGTTTGGACCCACTGGGTTAGATAGTGCTGAACATCTCTGTATTAGGATAAGTGATGGTGTCTGAGTGAAAATGTTAGTTTTCTTATCTGTGAAATGAGGGGGTTGGACTATCTCTCTGAGATCTCTTTTGGCTCTTACACCTTTTGGTCAGTTTCATTGCTGTAGCTTCACGCTTCACCTAGGGACTCTCCAGAGTAGCAAAAGAGTGCTTTTGAAAACGTTGGACTCTTGAATACTAACATATTGTACTCTTAAAAGTGTTATTATCTGGTGTCAATAGAAACTAAGGGAAGAATATGGATAGTTCTTGTCAAAACATCAGTACTACTGATAGAGCAACTCAAAGTACATAGCACTGTTTACAGATAGTACATGGTTTTCATATTACTGACAATTAATTCAAGAGTCTCAGAATGTTTTATATTGCAGGTGGTATCGCAAAATTACTGTATCAGAGAAATTGATTTGATCTTTTATTATATTTACATTTTTAAAAATTATTCCCACTGAAGTTTTGACAAATGAAGCTTTCCTTATTTACAGAATAAAAATTGAAGTTTTCTTTTTAATTCATAAATCCATGGGAGGCAGTTTTATTTCCTTATACTAATTTTTTTGAACAATCATTTGTTACAGGCTGTAGTTGAAGACAGAAAGTGGAGGTGATGGTCTAGGGTAGAGGTTGGCAAACTATGGCCTATAGGCCAAATCCAGCTCACCACCTATTTTTGTAAACGTTTCATGGGAACAAAACCACACTCTATTTACATGCTGTCAGTATCTGCTTTCACAGTACGACATCAAAGTTGAGTATTATGAAAAACACTGTGGGGCCCACAAAGCCTAAAATATTTACAATTCAATATTTACCTTTGCAGGAAAAGGCTGTTGACTCCTGGACTAGAGCAGTGTTGTCCAGTAGAACTTTCTGCAGCGGTGCAAGTGTTCTCACTGTGTCTGCACTGTTCAGTATGGTAGCTGAACCATGGCTAATGAGGCTCCTAACTGAAAGTTTAATTTTATTTCATTTTAATTTACATTTAAAATTAAACAGCCACCTGTGACAGGAGATGACTGGATTGGACAGAGTGTGTCTAGAGATTTGAAGACAGGGGACGTGGTTACAGAATAGCTCATTGTTTTATGTTAAATTCGGTGGAATGGAAGCTTACGTAGCTCTTGAGATGATAAATAAATGGTTGTACATCATGTTTACCTACAGGCTTATAATTTTTTAAAAGTTTGCTCTGGTTTCAACTATTTCACATCCACTGTTTTTCCTCTGCAGCGAAGAGGAGCTCCCATATCATAATGCAGCTATGGAACGGGTAAGTCCAGCTCTGCGTTTGTTTACAGTTACCGGGGGATTACATTCATCAGAGGAATAAAACCTGCCACCTTTGTGATTGTGAGTGCCGTGTTATATGTCAGTGCTGTAGTCATCGTTAGAATTTGACCCTCATGTTTCTTACTGTAAGAAAGTAATTAAATTAATGGTGAAATAATTTTAGATTTTATGGAACTTCTGATAGGTACTTGGAAAAAAGGAGAGGTAGGCGTTAGCAGAGAGTGCATTGTGCACGGGTAGTTCTCCATCGAGGATGCCTCAGGGCTCGGGCCTGGTGAGAGCACAGAGCTTGGGAGCAGTGAGAGCCTGGGCCCCTAAGGTGTACAAGTTTCACGGGTGCCTCTAAAGCACCGTATGGCTCCTAAAGCCGTGGTCCAGACCAGCAGCTTTTTGGAACATAACTGTGCCATGAGCTTTTAATCACATTTTCCACAGACAACAACAAAAAGAGTTTGCTGTAGTCAAATAAGTACATGTGCATTTTAAAGACTTAAAAGTCTTACATATAGTAAACTCATCAGTTTTTTGGTAACTCAGTGGTTCCCCTTTCTTCATTGCACTTGGCTGGGGAGCTGACTCCATAGCTGGGTGTGCATGAGAACCAGCGACTGAATGTTTAAGGTTGCTCAGAGCCTCCCTCCCCCTCTCCATTGTTTTATGTACCTAAAAATGAATTGTAGAATTTATGATTTGAGAGGGAGGCTATTGATCGGGGGGATTATTCTCAGTTTGTTTATGTTTGATGGGGGAAGGAGGCTGGGTTTCAGACAACGGAGGTAAAATTGGAATTGGAATTTGAAAAATATTTTATAAAATCTTTCTAAAATAAAAAATTTCCTGAAAATTAGAACTGTAGCATAACTCTGGATAAAAAGTGCCATTTTACATATACCGTGTAGAGAGCCCTATAGGTACTTCCTGCGGTTAAATTTTCTTGTGACTGCCTGATTCTGTGTCATAACCTTGATGTTTGGGCAAAGAAATTTCTTTCTCTTAATAAAGCTCTATTACTGCTTAGCAACTATATATCAAGCATGGGTCTAGAATCGAGGCCATAGCCTGGAACATCAGGATCAAATTCGGCATAGTTTCTGCTCTGAGAGGCTGGCTGTTCATCCAGTGACTAGAGGCAGGTCAGGTGAGACAGTAGTGGGAAATGATAGTGGCTTTCAGGGGCATGGTGTGTGCAGCGTGCCCTGGCAGTGGTGCTGGTGGAGAAGGCGGGCCCCTGCGGCCCAGGGATGCAGGAGAAGGAAGTGACGGCACTTTCTACCAGTTCTGCCCCTGGTGAACTTCTACCAGACCACTTGGAAGTGGGCACACAGGGATTTGCTTGTGTCCACATTCTGGCCATTCTCTCTCTGTTAGTGCCCTGACTTGGATAATCCGTGGACCCTCTGGATCCCACAACTGTTATGTCTTCATTCCCTCTCTTCCCAGCTCAGCTCTGCCACAGGCTGGGACCGCCCCCTCCCCCCTCCTGTCCACTTCTCCTGGGCTGAACTTTGTGCCTCTGCAGCACCTGCACCTGAGCGGCTCAGTGCAACTGGGAAAAGACTCCCAACTGGGGTGACTGGTTTTACTTTACATCCATGATCACAAACCTCAGCTGGATGTTTATGCTGCCTGGACATCATACCGCTTCCTCCTAGTGAATTTCTGCTCCCATTTTAACTAGTGCAGCTTCCTATTCCCTCTCAAACCTCCAGTACCTCTTTCTCTGGCCTTGCCCAGCCGATGTGCTTGCTTCGTGTTTCTTATTTCTTATCTCTGCACTGTCACACCAAGTAGTCAGTTCCCAGTGACCCACCCGCGCATGTGATTGGTTGCTTAGCCTCACTCTCACACGTTCCCACTTCTTGGCCTTCAGAACCCCCTACTCTCCACATATTCTTCTTTCCTCACTGGCTGCTCTTTCTCCATTTCCTCCACTTGTTCCTCCTCGTCTCATGACTTTATCCTGAGCCCATGGCTCAGGCCTGGAACTTCTCTTTCCTGTCTGGATCTCCTCCTCGGTCATCTCATCTAGTCTTTTGGCTTTAAACGCCAGCCCCCAGACTGTGTGTGCATTTCAGTGTCTAGACTTAGTGTCTGGCTTACTCCATACACTCAGATGTCTTAAAAATGTCCAAACTGGGGTTTCTGTTATTCTCTTCAAATCCATCTGTGAACAAGTTTCCCATCTCAACCAGTGGGAGCGCCACCCTTCCAGGTTTCAGTCTAAAAACTTCTGAGTTGTGTTTGACCATCCCCACACCTCATGTGTCAGCTCGGCCTTCTGCTGCCTGGTCTGCTGGAACCTCTCTTCTGGGGCTTCCAATTCCTTTCTTCTGCTAGTGTCCGCTGTCTGTTCACCACAAGAGCCGGAATGATCCTGTTGAAATAAGAGAGAGCATGTCACTCTTGATGGGAACATCCTGCCTGCTCTCCAGCTTATCCACAGTAAAAAGGAAGGTCCTTAGAATGATCTCAGAACCCCGTGTGACTGGTTTCCATAAGTCTCTCCTCTCCTGCTCCCATCTCTTGCTCACCCACCGGCCTCCTCAGTGTTCCCTGACCAGCCCGCCATGTTCCCTCTTTCATGCTTTTGCCTGGCTGCCTCCTCTCCTGGGGAGCCCCTCCTCCTACCCCCAAGAGCTACAGGGCTCGGTCCCTCATCTCCTCCAGGTATTTACTGTATGACGCCACCTTCGGAATAAGACCCTCCCTGGCATCTCAGATCTTACGTTGGGAACTCCCTCCCCCTTGCATGTCAACTATCCCCCTCTGTCCTTTGTTTCTCTCTTTAGTACTCACACTGTTTCACTTACTCAGTATTTTACTTATATCTTTATTTTGTCTGTTTCCTCACTAGGATGTAATCTCTGGGGGGGGGGGGTTTCATCTGCTTTGTTCACTGTTGTATCCCCAGAACCTAGAGCAGGGCACATAGTACGTGCTTAATAAATGGTGGCTGAGTGAACGACCAGGTGAACATAAAGACTGTGTTATGTCATTAAACAGGTGAATTTAAAGGTTGGCGGAGCTTGTCCTTTCAAATGTTGACAGTGTGCTTTATTTGAGAAATGAGGGAGAGAAGAGTTGGAAGGTACCTTATCCATATTTGGCAGAATAAAAATCTGGCAACCCACTGTTGACTTTTCTCTCCAATGCCACCTCTCTTCCCCTTTCAAAACGAATTCCTGGTCCAGAAAATCCAGACATGTGGGAACCAGTAGCGTAGATGATTCAAGAAATGTGACAGTGAAGGAAAGAAGAAATATGAGACAAAACCTAGTTGGAGAATGCATGCTTGAGGGAGGTTGTTTGTTTTTAATTTTTTTTTAAAGAGATTTGCCTGTACAGTAAAAGACCTCTTATCCAATGCAGTTAAAGTTATAATTAATGGATTGTTTGCTCTAAACAGTTTAATATAACAGGGAATCACTATGAAATGATACGCACACCTTAATAATTTAACGTAAGACATAGTTTTATGTTCCCTTGTCAGGCTTTTGCTGGGAGCAGGGGTTCTGAGGCTGCCGACTGAGACTCCGTCCTCCCCTTGTCTATAAACTGCACTCATATCGTGTGGCCCAGTTGGTTTCTTTAAAGTGGAATGAGAACTTTAGACACATGCAGAGCAGTCTGAGGCTGGAAACTTTTTAGTTTATCAGGATTTCCCCCAATTTTTCTAGTTTCAGTTTAGTTCATATGTTCTTCAGTGGTTGCCTAGTCCTAATGGCCAAGGTCTGCCATTTCTAGGAAGCTAATAAAAAATTCTGCATATTCATATGCGGCATTGAATAAAATCAGTGGAAAGGATAGCCTTGTGGAAGCGTACAAGTGTTCATCAGTCTTCACAGAGCATCCACTTGCAACGTGTACTTCCTGCCTGCCGTTCGGGAAGACTTGTACACTGCTGCACAGGCAGGTCATCGGGGCTTTTGTTCCAGCTTTGCCAGTGTATTCCTTCTACATAAGGTAATTCTCTGTTTAAAATAGGGTGTGGAAGGCAGGCAGTCCCTCGTAAGAGGGTGGGTGTTGGTGTTTGCAGACTGCTTTGGATTCCCCCTGACAGTCACTGAAGCAAATAAACACACATACTTATTATATTTACTCTGCAAAGAACACTATTAATAATGGATTATATTGTTTCTTTGAGCTTATTGATGCTTTTAATAAGGAGGAAAGGATATGTAAAGCTATGAATTTTCATGGATTCAGCTACTCCTTTTTGCAGTGCAGTATTTTGCATGGCTTAACAGAATATTGGAGACTTTTCAGATCTTTAAAAATTATATTTTAATTTTATGAGGTGTGAAATCTTGCTCAAAATACATGACTTTTCAATATCATTATTCTATCAAAACACGACTCTTTGCTTCTTACACTCCTTATCCTCTCCTGACCTCTGCTGGTGAGGTCTAGTTGTGCGTGACTTGGGTCAGCTTTATCCTCAGTCACACATCCTAATATTCAAAAAAACATCTGACGATTTGAACTTCAGTAAAGTTCTAAGACTTCTTATTCTAGAAGAGAAGGCTATTTAATATCCATCCATGCATTGTGTATATGGGTAGCCTTTACTGTCTAGCTTATAAATCATGTTACTAGTGGGAGGAGCATTGGACCCAATGCAAGGCAACTTCATACTATGTGGGTGATGCAGCAGTTGTTAAATACTTCCTATTCGACTGGTCCTGTATAGGATTAAGGTATAGTCTCAGATCACTAGAGGTTGAGTGATCTCAACAAAGAAGATATTGGTCCCATTTTTAATCGTTATACCCTCCTTACCCCAATAGGAGGGGCCAGTCCTGATTCAGAGGGGATGTGAATTTAAGATGATCAGGTATCAGATTGCAAACTTCAAATGGAAGTTTAGTCCTTTCCTGAAAACAGCTCCTGGGGAAGAGTGTACAACACCGTACCATTTCCTAATCAGTGGAGGTAATGGAGAGATAACAAAGGGAATATAGGATGGAGATTAAGACCTCT